ATACACAAATGTTTCCATGTAAATTCTTCCAAAAATTAGATACACGACTTTTGAATATCGATACATTTTTGCAAGAAAAAAATCACGATATATTGCGATATCGATATTTTCGATACATGGCTTTTGAATATTGATATAATATTGCTGAGGAAAATATCACGATATATTGCCGTAATCGACATTTTCTTACATCCCTAATAATAACAGATGATGAATAAATTGGTGTAAACCAATAAACTTTAAAATATTTATGTTCTTTCAGTAGTTTATGAGTTAAGTAATTCATTTTCCAACAAAGTAGAAATAAGTTTTGTTCTTAGAGGTCGCCATCTAGAGGTGGAAAAATGTACTGCACCTTGAGCCCCTCTCCCTACTGGCCGAATCAACGCCTCTCCTTCGTGAGCAGGCAACTCTTGCCGGCCAACAGAGCTAAAACACATTATTTTACAATTATTGTTCTTCTGTTATGCTGTTTATTTATGTTTATTAAAGACTTACTTGTCCCTGATGAATGTCACCACATTGCATCTGTCCAGGTACTTCTGGAATTAAACGATTTAAAAAATCTTACACGAAGCTTTTTAATGCAAACATAACCCACACAATGATCGGAGTTAATCTTAATTAAATCTGACACCAGTACCAAACCTGGACTTGTAGGAACAGTTTGCTCTGGTGCTAAAACTGTCGGAGTGGAAGGAATGCAGCAGTTTTTTGAACACTGGTCTGGTTTATTGTTGCGATGTTCCACATGCCACACTCTCCCACTTCCCGAGCATTCAACCCATCACACGGCACGTCACCAGCATCGATATCCTCCACTGAAAAGCGTTAGCACATAGAGTGGAAATTGTAGCAGGAAGAGATTTGAAAGATGAGGTGTAACTGAAGAGCATGGACAATAAAATAAAAGGAACTGCTCTTTCTTTGGACCTTGGCAGTCCATGTGGATTTACAGCAGCCTAAATATCCCCAGTAAACCTGTGGCACACACACATGACACTGAAACAAATCATGCGTTTGCTGAGTGTTGCAAAACCCCCTTTTGGTTTGTGTCATTCCTTTTCTTTTTGTGATGTTTGTGTGCAGCTGAAAAAAAATCTGTGTGAGGACTGCATTCATCCAAGCTCAATGCAGTCATGTATGAGAGCCAGTGGGCCACGGCTCGGCCTAGCTTGTGAATATTTGCTTTTCCAGCTGTTTCCTCGACTCACCCCAGGAGTGGGAGAGAGCGCGGTGTGTATGTGCACGTTCGTCTGGAGTCGGGGGCGTAAAAGCAAGATGGAGAGATTCAGAGTTCCAGGAAGGAAGCTAGCATGGGAGAAGAGAAGGCTGCAGAGAAAGTGTGTGTATATTAGTGTGTGTGTGTGTGTGCCATGTTCAGGCAGGGTGTCTCTCGTTACTAATGCAGATCGGTGTGTTTGTACAGTGAAAACGGCTTCTGGACAACAGAGGCATCTCACACCATCGATGATTTCTGTTTGTCTCATGCAAGCACAAACATGGAGGCTGCCCCCCCCTTCCTCCTCTGCCCGACAGACACACACCCAAATGCCTCGCTGCCCCTCGTATAGACCGATCCCGCCTCTCAGACACAAACCCACAAGGTTTGGCCTAGATTCCAGCACATGTACACACAGGCAGGCAGCAAGGAAAAGCAGTGAGCTCTAACACACACACACCCACACACACACACACACACACACACACGAATGTCAATCAGAATGCATTTACATTAATCAGCTGCTTAGTTTTCTACATTCTGCTCAGAATCGTGCCGAGGGCTAGCCGATGCATGCACATGCAGGCACAGTTATGCTCCCTTTGTTTATTTTAAATTTCTTTGTAAAATAGCAAATGCATTCATGTCTTCTTTGAAGACTGAGAATACAGGATGTTTTACATGCATGCGTTTTCAGTTTGATGATTAAATCATCATCATGCCCGATGAACGGTGTTATTCAGGTCTTTTTAGATTGATTTGCACAGGATGATCAGAATCTCTAAGCAAAACAAAACTGTTACCTCGCAGTGGGAATGTTGCAGCTTTCAATCCCGGCTGTGGCCGTGGAGTTAGCATGTTCACCCCGTGCATGCATGGGTTTTCTCCGGGTGATCTGGTATCCTCTCACAGACCAGAAACGTGTTTGTCGAGTTTACTGGAGACTCTTAATTTTCCTTAAGTGTGTGTGAATGTTTATTTGTCTCTGTGTGTCCCTGTGAGGGACTGGCAACCTGTGCAAGGTGTCGCCCACCTCTCATGTCCCCAATCAGACGAGCAAATCTGTACAGTCAGAAATAATCTCGGTTTCTCCAATCTGGAGGTTTCCAGCTATCTTTCCAAAACAAGGTTGCATAATTAAAGCAGAGGTTTTCTCAGAGGGGGGAATCTTGAGGTGGAAAATAAAGTTCTGCACCTGAAGCCCGTCACTACGTCCATCATGAACGGCTGGATGCAGCGCCTCTCCTTTGTGAACATGCACTCCCGCCCAGCTAACTGAAGTAAAGAGCATTGTTTTACAACAACATTCTCACAGTGTGCTGGTTGTTGGTAGATATATGAAGACTTACTTGTTGTTAAGAACTGTCGCCAACTCTGCTCAAGTCAAGTTACTTCCACAAACACGTGTGCACGCTCTGTGATTGACATGGACGGCGTTCTGATGAAATTGCGTGAGGATGCACGGGATAGGGGACAGGCTCAGCAAAATAAAGTTCTGCATATTATATCACAGCTCAAGATGAGAAGCATCACTTTCCAAAGATCTAAAGTGAGGGAAAACTCTGCATTGTCACTTTAAAGCTGCAAGGGCAAATTAGAAAAACAACTGAGCTTAAACCATTTTTCTCATGCCTCTTTTCATCGTTCTCATATAGTTTAGCTACAAATATATTGTGGAGATTAAATAAAACACACACAAAAAAGTAAGTTTGTTTTCTCGCATTTGTCTAAAAACCTCTGCCAATAACCTCAAGCAACGATTGGACCATCCTGTTGTTGGTCTCGCCAAATCACAACACTCACGCACTTCCCTGGGTCCTCCACACATCACACACTCATGCATTCAGCACCAGAACACCAGCGGTGTGAGAGGCTCTCCGCTCAGTGACACCAGAGAAGAAGAAACAGCCGGCTGCTACCACTTCCACTTTGGGACAAACTATTAGAGTCTAAAACAGGAAAACGCCATTAGGAGTCACAGACAGCAAAAGACATTTGGATCTAGAAACCGGCGACTAGTGTCGTGCACTATCTCGTTTCCTCTTGAAATGCGGGTGTCGGTTCTGGCAGACGCGTCTCAGTAAAGATACCCGAGAGGAGGGGGCGGCTGTTCTGTAGATTCAAGCAGCTTTAAGTCTAGGTTTAATCTTGTTTTTGCGTGACTTTTTCAAAGTGCTGGCTTTAACCTGATATGAAGGACCTTAACACGCAGTCTGATGCTCCTGCTTACAGAAAGGTCAGAGGTTGGCTCCATGAGTTGGCCAAACGCCTAAAGCACAGATGATACATCCTTAATAAAGAACACGGCCCATCTCCTCACTCTGCGTTAAGGATTAATGATGTAAATCGCCTGTAATTACAGGGACAACTGATGTGCTTTGATATGACCTCCTAGTGACTCAGAGCAGAGTCCCGTGAACTCCTGTACTACAAGTACTGGCTGGGTTTTCTGTTTCACCATATAGCACGCACAGATTCAAAACTTTTTTCCACTAACCTCTGCTGCTCTTGGCTTGTGTGGTCCATACTATCAGTTACCTATAGTTTCCAGTACAGAGAGCCTGGAGAGGTAGAGATAAGCACAATGGATCTGTCATATATTATGTATAGGTAAAATATCAATAATTAATATTGAGAAAAGATGCATCCCTTCGACAAATGTGAAATGGGTGCTTTTACACTCAAATGAACCTTTAACAGCCACATTTTACTGCTTTCCTTATTTATATTTATAATTTGAAATATGTTTCCTCTTCAATGCTAATACATAGCTATATACATATTATAACATATTGAAGCAACCGTTGCTTTGGAAAAAAACAAATTTATGAAATCCAAATATGTTTTATGATTTTTATTAATGAATTATTGAATTAAAGCCTTATTTATCTTTATTATAGACAATTCATGTTGTTGAAACTGTAGAAATTTAAGTTAACAAGTAAAATGGAATATGACAAAATAAGAAAACATGCACAATGCAAGGTAAAAAAATTACCCAAAAATGGATACAAATAAACAAACAAGTAAAACTTTACGTTATTTTCTTCTCTACAACACAAAAAGTGAATAGATATGAGCATTCATTATCACATTTTTAAGTTTTTCCATTCATGTTCCCACTCTCAGTAAATATTCTGCCTTTTTTTCCACACAGTATTTTGTTTTTATTTTATTATAAAATGTATAAATTCAATATTCAGAATCTTTAAACAATTTCTGTTTTCTTTTTCACTGTGGATATTTTACTCTTTATTCTTCATTTTTCATTCTTGCTTCCTTCCTGTTTTCTACACTGTTGCTTTGCGTTCTAGATTAGTAATTAAATGGTAAATAAATTATATATATATATATATAAAACTATGAGTGCTAAAATATTTTCACATTATTCTGAAACGTAGAATTGGGCAAATATATTTATTTTCGATATTTATTTTACTTTTAAAACGAGAGAACTCTTTTTCAAGAATTTTCAATTTTGTTTGTTTTTTAAATTAAGTTCTGAATACTTAAAATGATCGACAATATTTTAAGAACGTTCATTAATAATGGTTTAACCCCAATATGTTTTTTTAAGTGTAAAAATGCTTGAATTTAATCAATTACACTTACTATCAGGCTATCGCCTACGTCACGACACGCCCCTATATGGTGAGTACTGCTGAAAAAAAGGCAACATTTGATTGACAAGCAGCTCCGCCAATAGGAGAGCTAAGCATTCCAGAGTGGAGAGCTGTGATTGGATGGCGGGTGGATAATATGTATGTATAGATATGCCTGAGTGGGAAACCGTGTGGGCGGGACTATGTAGAAGTACTGTCCATCTGTGGCGATACCGACCCCCCAAAAAATAAAAAAACTGGACTAACGGAGTGTCCGCTTACGTTGCTCTTCGCGTGAAGTAGTGTAAGTTGTTTTTGCATTGTCGTTTTACCGGGAGTCTGCCTCGTTTATGTTTTTAAAGGTAGCGCTGCTGTTACTAGTTGTTTCGCGGTGCCGAGAAGTGCCTGGAAGCCCGCACGCTTTGAGGCCAGTAAAGTGTGCAGCTGGTAAGGTAGCGCTAGCTGTTGTTATTGCTCTATAGCGAGGTGCAATTGTCACAAACCGATAACACAAGGGATATACCCAGTCAGCCAGGGCGTTGTGTCACTGTGAATGGGTTATTCGCTGCCGCTACCCGTCTATAACATAACAGTATTATTTATTATTCGCACAGATGGTGAACATTTTCCGCACGTTTTCTTTTTTCCCTTACTAACTCGTGCTAGCTCGTGTTTTTGCTAGCTTGTTTTCCTAAAACGTGTGGAGAAACGGGTGGGCGTAGAGTCCCCCTTTTTTCTTTTTAAATGTGGCAAAGAATATGGCCGTGTGTGTTGGCACATGTACAAACCCCTGCAACCCGACTTAGTTAATTCGTGTTGTAGCCGGCCACCTAGCTTTTAGCCAGCAGCGCATTTAAAACAACTTCTCCCACCGGCCCGTCCACTTTGACATCCATATGCTTCATTTTCCTGTAAAACAAAAATAAATGCGCAGTTTGGTGAGCTAGCGAGCCAGCGACCAGGGGACAAAATAATAAAAAGCTTGAAAGTTGAAAATTTATGTAGCGTAACACTTGGGGTGTCCGGCGTCTCCCACATGACCCGAAACGAATCAGCGAACGGCCTCGAGTCGTTCTCTGGTTTCTCTTGTGAATTTCCAGATTTATTATTTTTTTGCGGAACGGTATGTCCGTGCAAGAAATGAAGGGACGTCAGCGCGGATCCACACCCCCATCCCCCACCCCTCCGCTGACCGTTAGATAGCCCTTCCTAATGCACCTCTTTCCTTTTTCTGTTGACAGTTCTGCTTTTCTGGAGAGAGGAAAAAGTTTTCTTTTTTTTCCAGCGTGGGGAAAGAATAATAAGAAAGACACCTTCAGCTCAGCTGGTTGTGGGAATTTGGCGACCTGGCTTCAGCATTTGGGTCTCTCTTTGCAACTCCACAAAGTGAAGGTTGATATGCCACATCAGGTAAGAACATAAACCACATTTCCTGTGTTTTTATGGTTTAAATGCTCGGGTTAGAGGTGAGTTTAACGAGCTGCTCCAAATGAGCATAGAAATCTGTTTTTGCAGCTCTTTGTTTTGTTTCCCAGCCTCCCAGTGTTTACGTTGAGACCTCATGGTGTTCTACATTTCATCTCACATTTCAGCCTCCTTAAACTCGCCCTTGTCCTAGCTGTTTTGTGTGCACACGTATTGTTATAAACCAATGCATCCCTCCACATTCCACACCTTTGTGTCTGCAGCCAGATCCAGCGCAAATCCCTTTAAATAAGTTGCTAAAAAGATGCAAATGCGTGCAGGTTGATGGCATTTTCTTAAATCGACTTTCTATTGTGTAATAGGGTCCTAGAAATGCAAGGAGGTGTTGTGTATTTGCCTTACCGAAGGTTGTGAATCTGTGATATGTGTGTGTGATGCTGTAGGAAAGACAAAAGGGTAGACTAGCGTGAAGATGAGTGGAATGGACACAGATACGGTTCAGTCAGCTACTACAGGGGCATGCTGTGTCTGTTGACAGTGCTACAGTACAATGGAAAGTTGTTTTATATTGTCCAGATAAGTACTGCTGCAATTTATGTGCATTATCAGATAATATCGTCAGTCAGAGTATAACATCCAGGGACAAAATAGGCATGTTTTGATAAGATTGATTCATTCAGCAGGCCCGGCGTTCTAGATGTTGTGCATTTTGTGGACTGAGTATTTCCTCGGTTGTAATAGACCCTCATTAAATGGTATTTGTGTATTTTAAATGCTTCACTTTGATGCTTTTTAACTAACCTAAAATTTTGCTTTAAACGATAATTGCTAATTATTTTAATTTGATTGAAATCGGTAATTTGGTTTCTTTGAAGGGGGCTTGCATGAGGTATTTATGCACAATTAGTGAATTGTGTGCAATCTGTGCTGTTGGAACATGGGAACCTTTTCATAGTTATAACCATTGGAGATTGTCTGTTTTTCTTTGTGTGTGTGTGTGTGTGTGTGTGTGTGTTTACAAAATAGAATCTATAGGACGTTTAGAGCTTTGGTACCAATTATTGGCTAAGATAACTCATCATTGAGTGATTATTTCAAATTAATGTGTTCAAATCAAATGTTGTTCATAACTGCAAATTATATTTTAGACACTAGGGCTGCACGATATTAGGAAAACCTGCGATATTCGATAACAGTGCTTAATATTGCGATATCGATATTACTCACGATAAATGAACAAATGCTTAAGTATGCAGTGTTGATGTCGTCTGTTGTGTGATGTCTGCTCTGGGTTCAAAGCAAACAAAGACTAATGCATGAATCCCATTACAACATAACATTTTTGTTGCAAACATATGCAGCTGCACCTGCTACTGTATTAGCAGCAAAACAACAAACTGCATGCATGCAGTTTCTCAGTGACTTTAAAACATCACCACCACCATAAAACTTTTTCTGATGCTCCAAATACAGAAAAACATCCCTTACCAGGATTTTGAATAAATAAAAATATCGGAAAATAAGTTTAAATGTTAAAAAAACAACATCACTTACATGCAACAGCAAATTCTCTCATTGAAATGGGCCACTACTGTAATGCACCCCTCAAATGCACTGACAAGGATTAAAAACTTTTACATCCCCGTTTAAATTTATATTTGGCTTATCTGTATGAGAGGCTGAACTAAAATTCAGCAGGATGTATATAAACTATTAGTATTTTACTAATGATGCTACTTTCATTCACACTTTTTAAAGTGGTTCTAGAATTTAAACCCACATTTACCTTGTTGTTGTTGAAGGTTGGCAACTTAGGTTTCAAATGTACCATCTGTAATTTTAATGGCCGTGAGGAAATGGTGAAGTCAGAGTCACACGCCCTTAAGTTTGCATGTCCCAACCTACTTCACAATTGGGAATGCATGAATGTTGGTGCAGGTTGGTTCTGCCAGCCACAGAACAACGTTAGCCCAAGCTACTGCTAACCACTTGTTGAGTGAGGGGGAAACTACAAAGAAGAACATTGGCGTACGCACATAACGTTCCAGGATGTACTGGGAAGATCCGGACTTTCTGGATATTTTACGTGACTGAGTTTATGGCTTCAGGCTGGATCATAGAGCCATCAGGGTAAACCGACCAATCAGCACGCACCCCGTTTAATGTTCAGCCTTCCTATTATAACGATTTATTACGGGGTTTTTATGGAGCCATTGTGAGCCCCAACAAAGTTTTGCATACTCTAAAGAGGCTCAAAGAACCGTTTCCAATTGTAGAGAGAAAGTTCTTCTAGACCTTTAAGTTTAAGCTGGATTGTTTTATTATTGTACGCAAACCCCCTTTACCCTCTGTTAAATAACATTAAGGTTAACTTGACTTCAGTGGTGCCTATCAACCTCTTTAAAGGTGCAACCCTTAAGTAACCATAACGTTACGAGGGGAAAACATCATAAACTAAAGACCATTCAGTGTTACTTGTCCAGATTATGGGTTTGTAGAACAATTTGCTTTTTTGCTTGATTACACCATCTTCTTGCACTTTGTAATCATACCAGGTTGCTGCAGCAGTTTGTTTTGAGTAAACACACCACACTATCAACAGCATAACCCACTGACCACGTACCTCCCACTGTTTTCGATGAAAGCCTTGCACGCCAAAGTGTTTTTGGTATACCCACTGAAAATCGCCTGCTGTATAAATCTTTGCAGCGCACTGAGTAAATGTTGAGTTTATCACTTTCCTGGAGAAGGTAGAAGCTGAGAGCTATTGACAAATTAGAAAGTTGTTGTTCTTTTTTGTTATTCCATCATTTACAGGTTCAAGTTTTCTTCCTAGGACCCCAGTGGGATATGGAGGGGTGTTTTCCATAATGAGGTGCTTAGTAGAACACATTGTGCTTCAGAAGTTTTCACTCTCTTCATTTATAGGCACGTAATAAATGATAACAGATGTGGAGGGTCTTCAAGGTGTAGCGTAAGCTTTTTTTTTTATAAAACCTAGGTGGCATCAAAAGCATGTGTGCATGAACGCACGCACACACACACGTGTGTGAATACCTTCGGGGTACTACACACCTCTTTGTGACGTTGTTTTCCCATCGGCGTTTTGTTGTTCAGAGGAAGTAGAAATGTTTTTTTCTGCTGTCATGTATCATTACAATTCTGTCAAGGTCTCATGAGGTGAACGTAATTGAATCCAAAACCTTTATTGTGCCAGAGGAGATTGCATCCTGACATTGGTAGAAACCGGTTTTTAACGAGGAAATTGCAGTTGAGGAATAATTTTTATTATGGTAGGTTCCTGTTACTAAAGGAATATTAACCCTTTAAGACCCGGCGGGCGTGCTGGCGCTTCCATTTGCATATCTGTGTTCAAAAGCTTGTAGAACTGAAACTATATAAGATAGAACAAATTTTGTTTTGCATATTAAACCGGAGTTACTCTTAAATCTCACACACTGAACGCGTCCCGGAGCGCTGCGTATTTACGCTAATGCGTTTGCAAAAAACAATCAAAATGCGCAAATAAGAAAAGCGTTTTCATTCAGACACAGACGCTGTGTCGTTCTGGTCTGCAGCTCACAGGGCTTCACACGCTAGAATAAACATCATCACGTTGTCAACGTGAACTGTCACATGATTATCACTCACCCAATCACCTGCTTTGATGTCATTTTCCCGCAAATTGTAGTTCTTTGTAGTCCCAGTCTTTTGGCTTTTTCTTGTGCTTTTTCGCAATAATACGTTTAGACAAACACATCCTACGCACATCACACACTCACTACACACTCCTGACACACACTCACACACCACTACGAACGTTTTGATGACTCACGGACCCGCCAAACGGTACATCTTCCCTCCTCGAAGCAGATGACGCCATTACAGCGCCGGAGGATGTTTAAGTTTTACTTTCAGTTTCCTCACGTATATGTTCATGCAATATTCTTTATTATTGTTATTATTATTAGTGAGAGAAAAGGAAAACTATATACTACATAAAAATTAGCTGCAAATATTCAACATTATTAGACTCCTGTAGATTATTATTATTTATGTTTTCGTTTTTGTTACAGTTTATATAAGTGAGTGTATCTCAGAAACTATTTTATGGAAACACTTCTAATAAATTTGTGGTTGTTTGAAAGGATTGTGTGAAACTTTTTTCCATTGACAATTTTGACGGATAAAGCTGTGGCATTTCTGTATAATGAAAAATGTGTGTAAAAACAAAAAAAAAGATTTTCCATTTCTGTATAGATAATTGAATTTTTTAGTAAAATATTTTGTTGCTATGTACTTTTTACATTTATATAATTAAAATTCAGAATGTAAGGGTTGTATTGATGTATAGAAAGTTGAAATACTCCAAAAAATGGCACCACAGCATGTAAATATGTAAATATAAGGTCTGGCGAACTTGCTCTATGGCAGGTCTTAAAGGGTTAATAAATAATGAGGATTTAATTTGCAGGATCATAATGACTTAGAAATTTCTTGTGTTTTGAAGCCATTACGCCTCTTTTCTGCACAGCGGTGTACTTTGTCCCCCTCCTTGAATACTTGCTTCCCGCCAGGCCCTGGCATGCTGAGCCAAGCTTGAGCCAAGTCCACCGTCACCTAGGCCTCGTGTTGCTGCCGTCCGAGCCTCCCCCTGGTGGAGTCTGCTGACTGAAGAGGACTGATGGTTCCTCTTGAGACTTGAGAGACAGACTTCTCATTCAAAACGCTCTTTTAGTCTGGGGAAGAAGTCTGAGTAACGTTGTACAATAAATAGTAAAAAGCAGCAGCCGGTTTCTGGTATGTTTGCTACCGTTGAAAGATACATTTATGTCAGAGGATGATTTATTAGTTGTTACGCAGATTTATTTATTTATTTATTTTTAGCCGTGATGTTTCTGGTTTGGGGCTTTGAGGATTCATAAGATTAAGTAAATTTGCATCCCTGACATTTTTTCTGCTTAATATAAACAGTCAGAAGGTGA